GACGGGGCGGGCCCGAGGCGCACGCCGGGGCGGGGGGCGGTGCAGGCCTTGCGCAGAGGCGGGGGGCGATGGCGAGACGGCCGCTGTGTTGGGGTCTCGGGGGACCGTCGACCCCGCTGCTCGTGCTGCTTCTCCTCTCTTTGTTCCCCCTTAGCCAGGAGGAGCTTGGGGGCGGCAGGGACCAGGGCTGGGACCCGGGGGTACCTGCTGCTGCGGGGTGGAGGGCGCAGATCGGCGGCAGAGCCTTAGCCCTTTGTCCCCAGCCGCCTAAGTCCGGGGAGGAGAGGCCCGGCCTGCGAGTTGGGAAGCCCGTCATCACAGGGCTCCGAGGGGGACAGCAGCGCGCCTGGGCTGGGCGAGGGTGCCCCGAGCAGTCAGACACAGATCTGGAGGTGCAGGTGCAGGCATCGGGCAGGCGCGAGCGAGAGACGGGGCAGGGCCTAGGGTCTCTGCTATGCTGGCGCCCAGAGTTGTCCTGTGGGGAGACAGGGACTTTCCGAAGAGGCAGTCTGTCGCTAGAGGCTCTGTCCCCAGGGGGCCCGGGTCTGGGGAGCACGTTGCCCCTTCCTTCGGACCTTCTGGCTCAGTCTGATGGTTCCCAGCCAGCGTCCTTCCATCGTCACGCTAGGAGAAGCTCCCGCAAAAGAGTGGGCACCGTGCGCTGCTGTGGGGAAGTGTGGGCACCGGGGCGCAGGAGTCAGGGCGAGAGAGCGGCCACCGCCCCAGAGGACAGGACGTTTCCTCGGCGGAGCTGTCTTCCTGCGGTCGGGGGGTCTTGCCATAGTTTAGGTTCAGCACCACGCAAGGTGAGGACAGCTCAAAAGCCAGGTTCAGCACCCGGCGAGTCGCGGACAGCTCCCGAGCGCATGCGCCCCGGCAGTGCCTTCCGCCGCCGCTTCCTTCCACAGCGTCCCGGGCCGCGGCCGCCTGGGCCGCCCGTGCCGCAAGCCAGTCCTGAAGCATGGAGAACAGCCTCCGCGAACCGAGCGCGCTCCCGTCGCGCCGCAAACCGCCACCCGCAGTTCCCGCAGTACAACTACCAGACCCTGGTGCCTGAGAACGAGGTGGCGGGCACCTCGGTGCTGCGCGTGGTGGCACAGGACCCGGACTCTGGTGAAGCCGGGCGTCTGGTCTATTCGCTGGCAGCGCTCATGAACAGCCGCTCACTGGAGCTGTTCAGCATCGACCCGCACAGCGGCCTTATCCGCACAGCCGCCGCTCTGGACCGCGAGAGTATGGAGCGCCACTACCTGCGAGTGACGGCGCAGGACCACGGCTTGCCGCGCCTCTCGGCCACCACCATGGTAGCTGTCACCGTGGCTGACCGCAATGACCACTCACCGGTGTTTGAGCAGGCGCAGTACCGGGAGACCCTTCGGGAGAACGTGGAAGAGGGCTATCCCATCCTGCAGTTGCGCGCCACGGACGGCGATGCACCCCCCAACGCCAACCTGCACTACCGCTTCGTGGGGCCACCAGCTGCTCGCACGGCAGCTGCTGCTGCCTTTGAGATTGATCCGCGCTCTGGCCTCATCAGCACCAGTGGTCGCGTGGACCGTGAGCACATGGAAAGCTATGAGCTGGTGGTGGAGGCCAGTGACCAGGGTCAGGAACCCGGGCCACGTTCGGCCACCGTGCGTGTACATATTACTGTGCTGGACGAGAACGACAACGCGCCCCAGTTCAGCGAGAAACGCTATGTGGCGCAGGTGCGTGAAGATGTGCGTCCCCACACCATGGTACTGCGCGTCACGGCCACAGACCGCGATAAGGACGCCAATGGTTTGGTGCACTACAACATCATCAGTGGCAACAGCCGTGGCCATTTTGCCATCGACAGCCTCACGGGTGAGATACAGGTAGTGGCCCCTCTGGACTTCGAGGCAGAGAGAGAGTATGCCTTACGCATCCGGGCGCAGGATGCAGGCCGGCCCCCGCTGTCCAACAACACCGGCCTGGCCAGCATCCAGGTGGTAGATATCAACGACCATACCCCTATCTTCGTCAGCACACCCTTCCAGGTCTCTGTTCTGGAAAATGCACCCCTGGGCCACTCAGTCATCCACATTCAGGCAGTGGATGCAGACCATGGGGAGAACGCCAGGTTGGAGTACTCCCTAACTGGTGTGGCACCTGACACGCCCTTTGTGATAAACAGTGCCACTGGCTGGGTGTCTGTGAGTGGTTCCCTGGACCGTGAGTCTGTGGAACATTACTTCTTCGGTGTGGAGGCCCGAGATCATGGCTCTCCCCCACTCTCCGCCTCAGCCAGTGTCACAGTGACTGTGCTAGATGTTAATGACAATCGGCCTGAATTCACCATGAAAGAGTACCACCTTCGGCTGAATGAGGACGCGGCTGTGGGTACCAGTGTGGTCAGCGTGACTGCTGTAGATCGTGATGCCAACAGTGCCATCAGCTACCAGATCACGGGTGGTAATACCCGGAATCGATTTGCCATCAGCACCCAGGGGGGTGTGGGTCTGGTGACGCTGGCTCTGCCACTGGATTACAAGCAGGAACGCTACTTCAAGCTGGTACTTACTGCCTCTGACCGTGCTCTTCAGGATCACTGCTATGTGCACATCAACATCACAGATGCCAATACTCACCGGCCTGTCTTTCAGAGCGCTCACTACTCGGTCAGCATGAATGAGGATCGGCCAGTGGGTAGCACTGTAGTGGTCATCAGTGCCTCTGATGATGACGTAGGTGAAAATGCTCGTATCACCTACCTCCTGGAGGACAACCTGCCTCAGTTCCGTATTGATGCAGACTCAGGGGCTATTACCCTGCAGGCTCCACTGGACTATGAGGATCAGGTGACCTACACACTAGCCATTACTGCACGGGACAACGGCATCCCACAGAAGGCAGATACCACTTACGTGGAGGTGATGGTCAATGATGTGAATGACAATGCTCCACAGTTTGTGGCCTCTCACTACACAGGCTTGGTCTCTGAGGATGCTCCACCTTTCACTAGTGTCCTGCAGATCTCAGCCACTGACCGGGACGCTCATGCCAATGGCCGGGTCCAGTACACATTCCAGAACGGAGAAGACGGGGATGGAGATTTTACCATTGAGCCCACCTCTGGTATAGTCCGGACTGTGAGGCGGCTGGACAGGGAGGCAGTGCCAGTATACGAGTTGACCGCCTATGCGGTGGATCGCGGGGTGCCCCCGCTTCGGACTCCAGTCAGTATTCAGGTGACAGTGCAAGACGTGAATGACAATGCGCCTGTCTTCCCAGCGGAGGAGTTTGAAATAAGGGTAAAGGAGAACAGCATTGTGGGCTCGGTGGTGGCTCAGATCACTGCAGTGGACCCTGACGAAGGCCCTAATGCCCACATAATGTATCAGATTGTAGAGGGGAACATCCCTGAGCTGTTCCAGATGGACATCTTCTCTGGAGAGCTGACAGCACTCATTGATCTGGACTACGAGGCTCGCCAGGAATATGTGATTGTGGTGCAGGCCACTTCTGCCCCTCTGGTCAGTCGGGCCACTGTGCATGTCCGCCTGGTTGACCAGAATGACAACAGCCCTGTGCTCAACAACTTCCAGATCCTCTTCAACAACTATGTATCCAACCGCTCAGATACCTTCCCCTCAGGCGTTATTGGGCGCATCCCAGCCTATGACCCCGATGTCTCTGACCACCTCTTCTATTCCTTTGAGCGTGGCAATGAGTTGCAGCTGCTGATGGTCAACCAGACCAGCGGGGAGCTGCGACTTAGTCGAAAGCTAGACAACAACCGCCCACTAGTGGCCTCCATGCTGGTGACTGTCACAGGTGAGGGGCGGAGAGCAGGCAAGTGACCCAGTGACCCTAACTTGTCAGGGACTCCACAAGGCATCTCAAACCAGGTGATTTCCCAGCTTTACAAGAATCCCTTAAATGTTGGGTCCCTGTGCCCCACTAAATCTACCATAGATTTCTCAGGGAGCCCATTTACGTTCTTGGACGATCTCCACAGGACCCCCAGGGTTCTATGGCATCTAGTGGACTCAATAAAGACTCTATAAACAAACATCTGCTAACGTAGGAACAGCTCCCCTCCCCATAATGGGCAGCGGGAGTCTTGATGTAATGCTCTGAATGTCCCAGGGAAAGTCAGAGTGTATTAGTTCCCACCATGGCCATGGTTAGATAAAGGGTTACTTTGGGTCTCATCTGAGCAGTTTAGTGGTCAGAAACAGCAGCTTACTACTACAGCAGCTTTAGGCAGAGAGGGGCTCAGATTGGCCTGGCTGATGTCCAAAGGGCTGTCCAAGGCGTTGCTCTTTGGGAAAATATCCAGAAGCACACCTGCTTCTTGCCTGCTTCCACTACCCCAGGCTTTCACACATCCCTCCCTAGTAGAAGGGTGCAGGTGGAAAAGGCTCTTGGTGTCTTCTGGAGGTTCTGGAGGGTGAGTCTTTAGGGATATTCATCCCTCAATTCTGAAGCTGGGATTCCCGGCCTGGCCAGAGAAGGCACAACGTTTACTTATTCTCAGTTCACTCAACAACCAATCTTTGTTGCCCACCCAGTGTGTGCTAAGAGACAAGGTGAACAAGGCAGATAAGGACCTCACCTTCATCTCTAAGAGTGGACAAAGAAACCATAGGGCTCAGATCTGGGGTGGTAGGCAGCTTGCTAACTCAGGAGTGCTGATGGTGTTGGTATAATGGCACATGTCTCTAAGCTCAGCGCTCTGGGAGGTTGAGGCAGGAAGATCACAAATTCAAACCCAGCCTGGGCGATTTAGTTTCTTAGTGAGACCTTATCTCAACATAAAAAAAAAAGCTAGAGATATAGCTCAGTGTAAAGCCCTAGGTTCAACCCCCAGTACTCTGTGTGTGTGTGTGTGTGTGTGTGTGTGTGTGCAAGCACACGCATGTACACACTAATACACGAGTGGAGGTGTGTAGGGGTGTATTGCCAGGGTCCAAAATCCTACTGGAGCTTGCTGACCCAGAGTTCAGCCATTGATGGCTCCCTGGGCTAGGACCCCTTACAGTACCATGGTGGAGCAGTCTTCTCTCCTGAGATGGGGTGAGTGATCCCTTGTTTCTTGGAGGGGACTTCGGCTGTACATGGAGAAGGCACCTAGGAATGGGTGGCCAGTGGCTGTGGTTTGTGTCCTGAGTGTGTGTGTGTAACTGCCTGACATAACTAGAGAAAGTATGGGTTATTGAGAACGTAGGGACCTTGCTGACCCACGGGCACTGTTGGGCGCTGGCTGATCATTGGTCCAGCCCCCTGCTTATGCTGGGAATGGGGAGGAAGCAGCAGCTTGCTGACACCTTGATGCTGGGGCCACAGGTGGTGCGCACTAGCCCCAGACTCAGTTATGTCCCGGGGGCCAACTTGTTGACTCAGAGATGCCGGGGGTCTGAGCAGTCTTCCGTTCTCAGCCCTTTTGCGTCCCAAGAGCGGCAGCTGCCAGCCCCTGCCTGACGGCTGCCCGTGCCCCTGTCCGCAGATGGCCTGCACAGTGTGACCGCGCAGTGTGTGCTGCGCGTGGTCATCATCACGGAGGAGCTGCTCGCCAACAGCCTGACTGTGCGCCTGGAGAACATGTGGCAGGAGCGCTTCCTGTCCCCGCTGCTGGGCCACTTTCTCGAAGGCGTGGCCGCCGTGCTCGCCACACCCACCGAGGACGTCTTCATCTTCAACATCCAGAACGACACGGACGTGGGCGGCACCGTGCTCAACGTGAGTTTCTCGGCGCTGGCCCCGCGGGGCGCGGGCGCGGGCGCTGCGGCGCCCTGGTTCAGCTCGGAGGAGCTGCAGGAGCAGCTGTACGTGCGCCGCGCCGCGCTGGCCGCCCGCTCCCTGCTGGACGTGCTGCCCTTCGACGACAACGTGTGCCTGCGCGAGCCCTGCGAGAACTACATGAAGTGCGTGTCGGTGCTGCGCTTCGACTCCTCCGCGCCCTTCCTGGCCTCGGCCTCCACGCTCTTCCGGCCCATCCAGCCCATCGCCGGCCTGCGCTGCCGCTGCCCACCCGGCTTCACCGGCGACTTCTGTGAGACCGAGCTCGACCTCTGCTACTCTAACCCGTGCCGGAACGGCGGCGCCTGCGCACGGCGCGAGGGCGGCTACACCTGCGTCTGCCGCCCTCGCTTCACTGGTGAGTCGGGCGGGCGGGGCAGTGGGCGGCGCGAGGGAGGACCGGGAGTCACTTTTTCGGCTGCAGGGGCAGGCGGAGGCGCGGGTGGACCCGGAGCGGCAGAGCCCAGTCCAGGAAAATCCACAGGGCACGGAGAGCAGAGGCTTTGCAGGCTGGAGGGGGCGGGGCGGGGCCTAGGAGGGGCGGGGATGGTGGTGGGCGGGACCTGACAACCCGAGGGGCGGGGTCTGACAGTCCGAGGGGCGGGGTCTGACAGTCCGAGGGGCGGGGCCTGCTAGGGGCGGGGCTGGCAGGGCGACCCTGACAGCCCTGCCCGGCAGGAGAGGACTGTGAGCTGGACACTGAGGCCGGACGCTGCGTGCCTGGCATCTGCCGCAATGGCGGGACCTGCACTGATGCGCCCCACGGTGGCTTCCGCTGCCAGTGCCCTGCGGGTGGTGCCTTCGAGGGCCCGCGCTGCGAGGTGGCGGCCCGCTCCTTCCCACCGCGCTCCTTCGTCATGTTCCGGGGCCTGCGGCAGCGCTTCCACCTCACGCTCTCCCTCTCGTAGGTGCCCGTCCCGCATCCCTCCCCAAGCGACCCTATCAGGTTCCTGACTCCCCCATCTTGAGATCCCCAGAGGACACTGTCTTCTCCCCTGACGCTGTCTCTTGTCCTCCTGTCCTGCCCCGGCTTGCACTGGCCGGCTCGGTGGGGGTGAGCCGGGGTCCTGACCGCCGCTCCCTTCCACCCAGGTTTGCAACCGTGCAGCCCAGCGGGCTACTTTTCTACAACGGGCGCCTGAATGAGAAGCATGATTTTCTGGCCCTGGAGCTAGTGGCTGGCCAAGTGCGGCTCACGTATTCCACTGGTGGGTGCTCCAGACGAGGTCTGTGACGGGGCACGGGTGCACTATGCATGGGGCGGTCTGCCTGCCTGAGGGCCCACCTTGGTGCCCAACAGACCGCAGTGAGGACCCAGGTGCGCGGCCTTGCCCTGTGGGAAGACCTGTCTCTCCAAGTGTGTGTCTCTCGTCTCCGTTCAGGGGCACTCTGGTCCGGCCTGTGTGGTCACCTGGGGGGGGTGCTGATCTCTGAGGATGGCCCCTGGGGGGGTGACTAAGCAGCTCCATGCAACCCTCCACATGCACGTCTCCCACAGGCGAGTCCAACACGGTGGTCAGCCCCACGGTTCCAGGGGGCCTGAGTGACGGGAAGTGGCATACGGTACACCTGAGATACTACAACAAGGTGCGCACCACCCCTGCCGCGGCGTGTGGGGGAACTGGGGTCCTAAGTGCTGCAATTCGGGGGCACCCTTGGGACATGACTGATTAGTGTGCTTGGCTGCTTGGGTCTTTAGCCCCGGACAGATGCCCTAGGGGGTGCCCAGGGCCCCTCCAAAGACAAGGTGGCTGTGCTGAGCGTGGATGACTGCAATGTGGCGGTGGCTCTGCAGTTTGGTGCTGAGATTGGCAACTATTCATGCGCAGCTGCTGGTGTGCAAACAAGCTCCAAGAAGTGAGGCCCCCAACCCTAACCCCCACGTCCTGCTCCCAGAGCCTACCCCGCCCGTCACACAGCCCGCCTCGACCCGGCCTGCCAAACTCCCCACCCTTTCTCCACACCACCGGATGGCCCCTTCCCTTAAAGGCCCTGGAAGCCTGCTCACCCAGCCCCGGTTCTGTATTCTACCTTGAGCCCTTGCTTCTGCACACACACCCCAGGTACCCAGTCCTCCAAAATCTCTGTCCCTCACCCAAGTGTCTGATACCACAGATTGCCACCGTCTCCATCAATGTCGTGCTCTGCGCCCAGAGCTCTGAGCCTGCCACCCCACCTTCCAGCCCCATTCTTTATCCCCTACCCTGGCTACCCAAGTGCCTCGCTTCTTCAGAGGCCTCGACACCAGCCCCCACCTTTCCCTGACCACTTGCCCATCGTGATCTCCTTTGTACCCTCACAACTGAAGTAAGGCCCTACCTCCTCCCCCAGCCTGGCCCGTCCTTCCCCCTAATCACCCTTCCCTCTGAATCCTACTCCCTACTTCTTGTGGCCCCCAGGAACAACCCTGCTTTGGCCCCAGTCCCACCAATGACCCAGGCCTCTGACCCGCAGGTCCCTAGACCTGACGGGCCCTCTGCTTCTGGGAGGTGTCCCCAACCTCCCCGAGAACTTCCCCGTGTCTCACAAGGACTTCATCGGCTGTATGCGAGATCTGCACATCGACGGCCGCAGAGTGGACATGGCGGCCTTCGTTGCAAACAATGGCACCTTGGCAGGTAGACCTGAAGTCCCTACTACCCTACTGTGGCCCTGTCCCCATCATAAGGAAGGGGTGGAGGGCCCCATGGGGCTCCATATCTGACCTTAACCTGGTCTTTCAATGGCAAGTGCTGTGGTATAACCCAGCCTTCGGGGCCTTAGTCCTACCAACCCATTCCCCAAGACTACACGAGCCTGAGGTCCTGCAAGTATTCAGGACCTAGACTCAAAATAGCCTGCCCAGCACTCATGCCTCCTCTCTCTTGCCATATTTATCTTCCGTCTGCCTTCCTGTCCCAGGCTGCCAGGCCAAGCTGCACTTCTGTGACTCAGGCCCCTGCAAGAACAATGGCCTCTGCTCAGAGCGCTGGGGTGGCTTCAGCTGTGACTGCCCTGTGGGCTTCGGAGGCAGAGACTGTCGGCTGAGTGAGGAGGATCATGGGGCAGGAGGGACCTGTAGGGTAGGGTCTGTTCTTTGGGTGGGGCTTTCAACCCTGCTTCTCTTATCCCTCCAGCCATGGCCGATCCCTACCACTTCCGTGGCAACGGTACACTGAGCTGGGACTTTGGAGGTAGCATGGCTGTGTCGGTGCCATGGTACCTGGGGCTGGCATTTCGGACGCGGGCGATGCAGGGGGTCCTGATGCAAGTGCAGGTTGGGCCACACAGCACCCTCCTCTGCCAGGTGTGTCTGTCCTTCTGATCCCTCCCAGCACCCTCCGCTCCCAGTCTGATACCACCAGCAACCTTCCTGTGGGTTCAGGTCTGGTCACATACCACACCCCTCTGCCAAGTGTCCTGACCACAGTGGACCCTAGACCTTGACTTTTTCCCATAGTGTGATATCTTCTGCAGGTACAGGGCACAAGCAAAATTCTCTGTCATGCTACCTGCCCCTGTCCATGACCCCTGGTTCTGTCCTTTGCTCCCTGTCATGCACTGGCAGCATGATATGCCCTGGCACAGGGTTGTGTGTGCCAGATGTAACCTTGAACCCACTGTTTGACCTCTGAGCCCTCTGATCTCATCTCCTAGCCTCAGCCCAGTTTGGGGCTCTAACCCCAGGGCTGTGGATCTCTTCCCACAGCTGGATCAGGGGTTGCTGTCAGTGACGGTGACCAGGGGCTCCAGCCGTGCTGCCCACCTCCTGCTGGACCAGGTGACTGTCAGTGATGGCCAGTGGCATGATCTGCGGCTGGAATTGCAGGAGGAGCCAGGTGGCCGGCGGGGCCACCATGTCTTCATGGTCACACTGGACTTCAGCCTCTTGCAGGTGTGATCTCTGACCCAAGCGTAGTCTGTTCTCAACCTTTCAACACAACCTTTCAACTGGACATACCTTATTTGATGCCCCCTCTGGTCCCTCTCCCCTCCCCTCCTCCCCTGCGCCACAGCTGACGTTCTCCCAGACCCTCTCCTCATAGCCCTGCTCTGCGCCCACCCCACCAGTCAGCTTGGTTCCTGGCAGGCCTTCCTCATACCAGGGAATCACCCAAGTTTCTAGCCTGGTCTGAAGGTACCTTAGTAGTCAGGACTTTGCCTGACTCCTGAAAGGCCTTTCTCACCTCTGCCCCAAACCCTGACTAGCCCAGGTCAAAATCATGGAATTTCAAGGTCTGCTCTGGGTCCAGGAGAAAGGGGCTTTTCTGTTAAGCATCCCTCTGCCCCAGCAGGTTCTCCCAGCTCATTCGCAGCCCACCCTCTGGTACAGAGGGACCAAGCACTCTCACGCAGGGCTAAAGAAGGCCAGTGCCGACTCTGGGGTACGGCAGGGGCCGTTAGGCCTTCCTCTCAGTGCTGCCTGCCCCTCCTCTAGGACACCATGGCAGTGGGGACGGAGCTGCACGGCCTGCAGGTAAAGCAGCTCCACGTGGGAGGCCTGCCGCCCAGCAGTAAGGAGGAGGCTCCTCAGGGTTTGGTTGGCTGTGTCCAGGTACGGGTCTGCATGGAAACAGGACGGGGGCATTGGAGTCAGTGGCCAGATGTCAGGGCCTCCTGGGGACCTGGAAGGCTGCATCCAGACGGGCTTGGGGGTGGGGGTCAATGGCGCGGAGCCCGCAGAAACAGACTGAGCTTGCTGTGGTGTTGGAGGTGAGAGGGTAGTGTAGATTATCACGGGTCACTAGGGGTCTCTACCAGAGGCAGCACAGTTAGTTCCTTTGGGGGTGAATCGGGGATGTGTGGGTGGCCGAGGTCTTTGGGAGGCTTAGGGGAGACTGTGTCTCAGGGATCATCAGATGTACGGGGCTTGAGGTTGGGACTCACCCCTTGCTGGCTGTGTCCATAGGGTGTGTGGCTTGGCTCTGCACCCTTGGGGTCCCCAGCCCTGCTGCCCCCTAGCCACCAAGTGAACGTGGAGCCTGGCTGCGTCGTGACCAACGCCTGTGCCTCTGCGCCCTGCCCACCCCATGCTGACTGCCAGGACCTCTGGCAGACCTTCACCTGCACCTGCCAGCCAGGTGGGCCTCGAGAGGGTGGGGAGGTGTGGTCTGGGCAGGGGCCACAGGTGCCTGCCTCCTCTGTGTCCTATGGCCAGTGCCCCGAGCTTCCCAATCCATTCCGCAGGTTACTACGGCCCGGGCTGTGTGGACGTCTGTCTCTTGAACCCCTGTCAGAACCAGGGGTCGTGCCGGCACCTGCCAGGAGCCCCCCACGGCTATACCTGTGACTGCCTAGGTGGTTATTTTGGGCATCACTGTGAGCACAGGTAAGAAGCTGGAGGCTGAGGTGACCGTGAGACCTGCTGCGGCGGGGAGGGTTACTGAGATGGCATCTCTTGTCCAGGATGGACCAGCAGTGTCCCCGAGGCTGGTGGGGGAGCCCAACCTGTGGCCCCTGCAACTGTGATGTTCACAAGGGCTTTGACCCCAACTGCAACAAGACAAATGGGCAGTGTTACTGCAAGGTTTGCCTGACCCTGATCCCTGACCCTTTAACCCTTCCTCAGACCTCATTTATGGCTCTTGCTAGCCTGCTAATCTCTGCGGTCCGACACGGGCTCTAACCTCTGACCTGTGTCCTGTGATCCAGTTGCGATCTCATATCTTTGACCCCTAACCCCTGCTCTGAGTTTATTTGAGGCCAGTCTTCCTTCTGGCCTGTGAGCCCTGTTCTTTTTACCCTTTTCCCCTCGTTCCACCTGCACCCCAAGCCTTCGCCTGGGACCCCTACCTTAAACCCTGACCTCTGACTTCAGGCCCCTGACCCATCCTTGAACAGGAGTTCCACTACCGACCACGGGGCAGTGACTCCTGCCTCCCCTGTGACTGCTACCCCGTGGGCTCCACCTCGCGCTCATGTGCACCCCACAGCGGGCAGTGTCCCTGCCGCCCAGGAGCCCTTGGCCGCCAGTGCAACAGCTGTGATAGTCCCTTTGCGGAGGTGACCGCCAGCGGCTGCCGAGGTGAGCAAGCGCTACCCGGCTTCTCCTGTAAAGGGTTGGTTCCCTATGATGAAAGTGAGACTGGTGGAAAATAAAGCTCCAGTTTTAATTTTTTAAAAAAGAAAAGGCTGATGCCACTAATGGTCGTTGAGAGGGATACTTTGCTCCTAGGGTGGATGGAAGGGCTCAGAGGGGCTTTTCCTGAAGGAGATCTGTTATACCCGGGACACCTCACCATTACCCCAAGTATAGGCCAGCTTCTGAGAAGACAGCCAGGGAGTGGTGGGCAGTGGACCTATGGTGGGTAACAGAGGGGCAGTAGAGGTCGCTGTCACTTGCCTGGCCACTTGCTTCAGTGTCCCCTCTCTCTCTAGTGCTCTATGATGCCTGCCCCAAGTCCCTGAAATCTGGTGTGTGGTGGCCCCAGACCAAGTTTGGTGTCTTGGCCACGGTTCCTTGTCCCCGGGGGGCCCAAGGTGAGTCTGTGGGGTACAGGGACACCTCTGGGGGTAGGGCTGGGCCTGCTGTTTGACTGCTGAAGCTACCTCTTGTGGCCCCCCAGTTGGGTGGCCTTATACATGTGACGACGTGGGAGTGGGAGTCCGTGTGGGTCCTCGCTACCTCCTAGGGGGTCTGGGCCTCTCCGTACCTCCCTACATCCTCATTAAGCCTCCATCTGTTTCTCTTGGCTTCTGGGCAGGATTGCGGGGTGCAGGTAAGGGGTACGTGTTTGCTCAGGTGCGCTGCCCCCTCCCACTGCCAGAGCTTTGCAGATCCCTCCTGCTTCGTAAGGTCCTTGCAGAGCCCTCTGCACGGCCTGAGGTCTCTAAAATTGGCTTCCAGCTGCCTAAAGTCCCCGGAGGCCCCTCTGTGCTGTCCGAGGACTCCAGAGGCCCGAGGCCCTCAGAGAGTTACCCCTGACACTCCTGCGCCCTTCCATACTTCCTGAGACTTGCGGACCCTACCCCAGTTCCTGAGCTTCCTGCAAGGTTTCCCCCACTTCTGAGTTTCCTGAAGGCCTCTCCCTCCTGACTGAGGCCACACACACCCCTTCCCTTTGCCTGAGGACTCCTCAGCTTGCCCTGCTGCTTACGGGCCCCTCAGAACTCCCCCTGCTGCCTGAGGTTTTGCAGTGGCTGATGGAGATTGCCCGTGTACGCATGCTCATGTGTGTGTCCTGTGCCTCTGCATGTGAGTCTGCCTCGTGGGGCTGGGTTCTGTGTCTAAGTTAAGGGCCCTTTTGTTGGTGGCCACAAGCTCCCTTAAAGCCAAGTCAGTTCCCATTCAACTTCTGTCCCAGCTCTGGAGACAGAAGAGGGCAGTGGCAGCAAAGTGACGACTGAGGCAGTTAAAACTTACCTGAGAACGCACCCGCCTCACTCGGGTCACACTGCCCTCGTGGAGGACCTTGTCTGGCAGTGTGTGTGTGTGTGTGTGTGTGTATGAGATGGCACTGTGTGGCCCTGTGTGTGTGTGTGCACAGCTGTGAGCATTGGCATGTGTGATGTGAGTGTGTGTACACGTATGTGCCTGCAGTGTGTGCCTGGTGTGAGAACAGATCACAGGGCCCGCTGGGTTCAGGCCGCTGCATCCAGGAATCTGCCTGTGGACCTCTGTCACCCTGGCCTGTGCCTCAGCCTCCCCTGGGGTAGGAGAGGGTGCTGTGGCTGCCCGTCAGCAGAGGTGTCCAGGCTCCAGGCCTGACCAGGGGCTGCCTGCTCCCAGGTGCTGCTGTGCGACTCTGTGACGAGGACCAGGGCTGGCTGGAACCTGACCTCTTCAACTGTACCTCCCCTATCTTCCGAGAGCTCAGCCTGCTGGTGAGACCGCCCAGACCTTGACCTGTATCCGAGATCTTCCCTGGCCGCGGCATCCCCGCACCTGTCGGGGGGCCCCCCGGAATAGCACACCTGCGCCTTGACTTCCTGGGCCTTCCCTGGTTGCCTTTACCTTGGCTAAGCCTTTCTCCCTCTAAAGCCTTTGAGAAGGGCCTGTGGGCCCACCAGGTAACCACTGCCATCCTTGTCCTGGCAGCTGGATGGCCTAGAGCAGAACAAGACCGCACTGGACACCCTGGAAGCCAAGAAGCTGGCCCAGCGGCTGCGGGAGGTGACTGGCCACACTGACTACTACTTCAGCCAGGATGTCCGGGTGACCGCCCGCCTGCTGGCCTACCTGCTGGCCTTTGAGAACCACCAGCAGGGCTTCGGGCTGACAGCTACACAGGATGCCCACTTCAACGAGGTGGGGCTGTGCCTCTGTTCCCAAGTCCCTGGCCCCGACTCCCAGCCTCCGCCCCGATCCTCAGCCCCAGCCCAGGATACCCAGCTCAGACCCCTCCCAGCCCCATCCCGGGCTTTTCCTGTCCCCATAGCCTCTGTCCCCGTCCTCTTCCTGGTTGGGGCCCCTCCAAGCACCTGGCCAGCCCCCTCACAGCCGCCCTGTCCCTTTATGCATGCTCCTCACTGGGATGAGCACAACTCCGTCTCCATCCTCCCAGAACCTGCTGTGGGCCGGCTCGGCACTGCTTGCTCCAGAGACGGGGGACCTGTGGGCAGCACTCGGGCAGCGGGCCCCTGAGGGCGCCCTGGGCAGCGCGGGGCTGGTGCAGCACCTGGAGGACTACGCGGCCACCCTCGCAAGAAATATGGAGCTCACATACCTGAACCCCGTGGGACTGGTGACGCCCAATATCAGTGCGTGGCGGGGGGCCAGGCAGGGTAGGGGCTGCGGGAGGACCTGGGGACCCGCTGGCAGGAGCTGCTGATGGCGGAGGCTGTGCTGCTGCCTCGGCACTGTGGGCTAGGCAGTGAGCACCGTGGGAGTTGGGTGCAGGGCGGGGGTCACCGGGGGCGGGACCTGCAGGGTGGAGAGAGGGTCCTTGATGGGCGTGACTTTGCTTTCTCCTGGGCAGTGTTCAGCATTGACCGTGTGGAGCACCCCAGCTCCACGCAAGCCACCCGTCGCTATCCCCGCTACCACAGCAACCTTTTTCGGGGCCAGGATGCCTGGGATCCTCACACGCACGTGCTGCTGCCTTCCCAGTCCCCCCGGCCATCCTCCTCTGCAGGTGAGAGCCCTTGGGTGACCTCTGGGTCAGGTCCTGTCTCCCAACGTCGGTTACCACGCCCCCTTCCTGCCAGGCTCCCCACCCTGCACCCCGCCACACCCTTGCCTTGCCCTTCCGCTCCCTCATGACAGGTGACTCCTCCCGGGCCTTGGGCGTCCCCTGCCTGGGGCCCTGCTCGCCCCACTCTCCAGCTCTTGGAGAAGCTTGATGCGGGGTCGGGTTCAGAGCTAGGTGCGTGGGTGTTCAGGGTCAGAGGTCACTGGCAGCACTCCTACCTTCCCTGGCAGTTCTGCCCACAGGCAGCAGCTTGGAGAACTCTACCTCCTCGAGCGCGGTCCCTCCGCCAGCACCCCCGGAGCCGCAGCCTGAGTCTTCAGTCTCCATCGTCATTCTCCTCGTGTACCGCACCTTGGGGGGCCTTCTCCCCGCCCAGTTCCAGGCTGAGCGCCGGGGCGCCAGGTAGTCCCAGGCCCCTCACCCCTGGGCTTCCTCGGAACTGCTTCCCAGCCAGCACCTCCATTTCCGGGGGGTAGATGATTAGGTTCACACATATACCAGGTGTTGCCGCACGCAGCCCTGGGGAACCTGCGCAAGCTGGATTCCGAGTGAATGTTTTCTGGAGCTGTGCAGAGTAGCTGGGATGCAGGTTGGCAGCCAGTAAGCCACAGGTGGGGCCGTTAAACACGGAGGGCTACCCGAGCCGGATGCAGACAGACCAGCTGGCTGATAGAGATGGAGGCCAGTGATTGGTGCATGTCAGGTAGGAGCAGGAGGGGATGTTTGAGGTCAGCAGTCACAGACGGTGGAGCTGTTCAGGCCTCCGACCCCAGGCTGGGCGGGGAGGCCGCACCATCTGGCACCAGCAGAGGCTCGAGGCATTCTCAGAAGTAGCGCTGCTCTGGGGGCACCCAGGCCCTGGGCCAGCTGTGGCGCGTGATACGAAGGCAGGGAGGGGGGCAGTCAGAGACTGGGGAGGCTGGCGGCATGCCAACCCAGTCGGGTGTCTCCTCAGGCTTCCCCAGAACCCCGTCATGAACTCCCCGGTGGTCAGCGTGGCCGTGTTTCATGGACACAACTTCCTAAGGGGTGTCCTGGAGTCCCCGATCAGCCTTGAGTTCCACCTGCTGCAGACGGCGAATCGGAGCAAGGCGATCTGTGTGCAGTGGGACCCGCCCGGCCCGTAAGGAGACCCTCCGTCCCGTTAGCCTCTGGAGAGCTCACTCACAGTCCCCGCTTGCCCCAAGGCCCTGCCTGTGCTGCTGTGCAGCTGCCCCGTGAGGAGTGATGCTTCCCACCTCCAGGCCCCTGTGCCCCTCCTGCCATCTCCTGCTCCCCGTGGGCAGGTGGGGCTAACTGCCCTGTGGCCGCAGGGAGGACCAGCACGGGGTGTGGACAGCACGGGACTGTGAGCTGGTGCACAGGAATGGGTCCCATGCGCGGTGTCGCTGCAGCCGGACCGGCACTTTCGGGGTCCTCATGGATGCCTCGCCCCGTGAGGTACGTCTGTGTTCAGTGCATCGAGGAACCGCGAGGCCGAAGGGGCAGGAAGGCTCTGCCCAGCACACCACGGACCGTCTCTGTCCACACAGCGGCTGGAGGGCGACCTGGAGCTGCTGGCCGTGTTCACCCACGTGGTCATGGCAGTGTCGGTGGCTGCCCTGGTGCTGACTGCCGCGGTCCTCCTGAGCCTGCGCAGCCTCAAGTCCAATGTGCGTGGGATCCATGCCAACGTGGCGGCTGCTCTGGGGGTGGCAGAGCTGCTCTTCCTGCTGGGGATCCACAGGACCCACAACCAGGTACGGGGTCAGGGCCAAGCCATGTCTGTCCTGATGCCCACACCCGGCCTGGAAAAGTCTGGGGCCGAAGCTGCTGAGCTTGGGGTGCCCAGAGTGGGCAAGGGCTTGGGGCAGGATGCTGGAGTAAGATGCTGGGGGCTCGGGGTCGGGGGAAGCAGCTGCTCGGCGCGGCGTCCGAGGGGGGGCGAAGGCAGAGCGGTCCTGACACTCCGCTCCCTGCCCGCAGCTCCTGTGCACTGTGGTCGCCATCCTCCTGCACTACTTCTTCCTCAGCACCTTTGCGTGGCTCCTGGTGCAGGGCCTGCACCTCTACCGCATGCAGGTTGAGCCACGCAACGTGGACCGCGGCGCCATGCGCTTCTACCATGCCCTGGGCTGGGGCGTCCCTGCTGTGCTGCTGGGTGAGGCCCCGCCGCTGGCCCATATAGGCTCGGGACTCCCAGTCTCTCTCCGTCCCGTGGTCTGACTCCCGACTGTGTCCCCACTCCTGATTACCACCCGTACCCTCAGCTTCCCGTGCCATCTGCCCGGGGAGGCGCCTGTCACCTTCAGCCCCGCTCCTCCCCTGCATGTGGCTCAGCAGCTCTAAAACACACCCGTTCTTTCCCAAGGCCTTGCTGTTGGCCTGGACCCCGAGGGCTATGGGAACCCTGACTTCTGCTGGATCTCCATCCACGATCCCCTCGTCTGGAGTTTTGCCAGCCCCGTGGTCCTTGTGATAGTGGTGAGTGCTGGGCACGCAGTTACCCACGTGCTTCCTGCAGGGGGCGGGGAGAAAAGCTTGCAGCAAGCACGGTAGGGTCTGTGGAGGGTCCGCAGGCTGGCTGAGCCCCCTCCACTCCATTGTGTGGTCAGAGTGAGCCCTCGCTGCTCAGCTGGCGTGGAGACGGGGGCCTGGGTCAGAGACGTAGCCACTCCCTCCTCCCTGCCTCGGCCTTTCTGGTGTTCTCTCTGACCATTGCTGTGATTCCCAGCTTCTCTGTCTGTTTCTGGGCTGTGTGTGTGTGTGTGAGAGAGGGAGAGAGAGAGCGAGAACGTCCCGCTGGGGGTTTGCGTCTGCATAGTCTTGGTCGCCTGCCCTGCTCCTCTGTCTCTCACCACCTCTGTCTCTCTGTCTTGGGCCTCCCCGCCGGCCCGGTGCGCCGTGGATCCAGATGAACGGGGCTATGTTTCTCCTTGCTGCCCGCACCTCCTGCTCCACTGGGCAGAGGGAGGCCAAGAAGACCCCTGTGCTGTGAGTTCGTGGGCTGGGGGATGCGGGCGGGGGTCCCCAGCACGGCAGACCCCTCCTCATCGTGGTCGAGGCCCCCGGGCACCCTTGGTGAAGCTGGACGAAGGGCTGCAGTTCGCCAGCCCTGGCCCACGGCCCCTCTCTGGTGCCCTGCCAAACTCTGGCCCGCACCTGCGTCCACCTGCTGTCTCCCTGTCCCCTAGGTCTCCCCAGCTTCCTGTGGCCTGGGTGGCTCACTTTGCCCCCTGCCCCGTGTGTCCCCACCTATCTTCTGTGTTTTCTCCCCGGCCTCCCCACGCCTTGTTGTCCCCACACCCTCCTCTGCTCCCTGAGTGTCCTCCCGGGTCTTCGTGTGGCTGCCCATCTCCCCAGTACCCTCCCGAGACCTCCGTCTTCCTACCTGAGCCCGTGTCCTCCTGTGTCCCCCCGTGAGCCCTGCCTGACCCTCGTGTGTCCTCCAGTGTCCTCCCATGTCCTCTCGCAGGACCCTCCGCAGCTCCTTTCTGCTGCTTCTGCTGGTCAGTGCCTCCTGGCTCTTTGGCCTCCTTGCCGTCAACCACAGCATCCTGGCCTTCCACTACCTCCACGCTGGCCTCTGTGGCCTCCAGGTACCTCTGCTGCCCTTTCCTGCTGCTCCCCTGTCCCCGCCCTGGGTGGGCTCCAGCAGGCCAGTCCCAGCCAGCTGGGTGCTAACTCCAGGCCAGACAGTGGCCCTAGCTGACCCTGGTCCTGGCGCTGGCTCCTGCCTGGCTCCTGGCTAGTTGGGCTGTGTGCTGCTGGCCCCCGGCCCCTGGCTGAGCTGCAGACTGTCACTGTCTGCATTCACCAGTGCTGCGTGGACTTTTCACTGCCCCTGCTGACTTGCCCAGACCACCCTGACCTCCCTTTAGTTTTCTTCTTTTTCCAGTACTAGGGATTGAGCTCAGGGCTTCCTTTATTTTATTTTATTTTGTCTTTTTGAGAACTCGCTATGCAGTTCAGGCTGGCCTTGAACTCACTTTGTAGCCCAGGCTGGTCTTGAACTCGCAACGATCCTCCTGCCTCAGTCTCCCGAGTGCTGGGATTACAGGTGTGTGCCACCATGCCTGGCAGGGCCTCCTTTATACTGGGTTAAATCCCCAGCCTTTTTTTTTTCCATTTTTTACTTTGAGACAGGATCTTGCAAAGTAGCTGAGTTGGTCAGGATGGGCTCAAATCTCTGATCCTGTGTCTCAGCCTCCCAGAGTGCTGGGATTACAGATGTGCGCCACCACGCCCAGCTCCTGACTCCCTTTCTGTCCCGCTCTGATTCCTCCCCGACTCACACTAATCTGCGGCAGCTGCCAGGGGCCTCCGCTGGCCCTGACTGGCCCCCTGGCGGCCCTGTTCTGAACGTCTCTGACTCTGATCTCTGCGTGCTCTGCACTGATGCCACACTGACCCTTGCTGACCCACAGGGCCTGGCGGTGCTGCTGCTCTTTTGTGTCCTGAACGCAGATGCCCGGGCTGCCTGGACACCTGCCTGTCTGGGCAGGAAGGCAGCGCCCGAGGAGACGAGGCCAGCCCCTGGGACGGTGAGGGGCTGCCAAGGCTGGGGCGTTGGGATGGGGCCCGGGAGGCCCAGGTTCCTCCAGGGCTGGCTCACAGCCCCATCCTGCCTGCCTCTGCCAGGGGCCTGGGGCCTACAACAACACAGCCCTCTTCGAAGAGAGCGGCCTCATTCGCATCACTCTTGGTGCCTCCACCGTCTCCTCAGTGAGCAGTGCTCGCTCCGGCCGGACCCAGGACCAGGACAGCCAGCGGGGCCGCAGCTACCTCAGGTCAGTGGCTGCGGGCAGCCTGCTCAGTCCAATCCTTCTTCGCCAGGGCTCGGTATTACCAGGCCCTAAGACTGGTGGCTCCATGCAGCTCGGCCCCTGCGGCCCTGCTGACAGCCCCAGAGACACCCCGGCCTCCACGGCACTGTCACTGTCGCATCCTCTTTGCTGGGGGGGCTCCTGTGTTTCAGGGACAATGTCCTGGTTCGACATGGCTCGGCTGCTGACCACACCGACCACAGCCTCCAGGCTCACGCTGGCCCCACTGACCTGGATGTGGCCATGTTCCATCGGGATGCTGGTGCAGTTGGAGCCCTGGGTCAGGGAGGAGGGAGGCGGAGGGTCTGTCCCCGGTCCCCTTTCTTTTGCCCCAAACTGGGAGCAGTGTGTGACTGAGGTGGGCCAGGCTTCCCCCAGGTCACTGCCTCAGGGGCACCCACCCGCTGGGCCCTCCTTCTCCTGACCCAGCCTCGGGGGACCGGCCCAGGCCTTCCGTCCCTGCCTGCACTCCACACCCTCCCCAGGCGCCCGCCTGGCCTCCAGACGCTCAGTTTGGGGCCCCTTGTGTATCCCCACGTCCTGTGTCTCTCCAGGCTGCCGTACACCTCTCTCTCTGAACCTCCCCACCCTAGGCGCAGACTCCGACTCTGACAGTGACCTCTCCCTGGAGGAGGAGAGGAGCCTGTCCATCCCGTCTTCCGAAAGCGAGGACAATGGCCGGGCACGAGGGCGTTTCCAGCGTCCCCTCTGCAGAGCAGCTCAGAGTGAGAGGCTCCTCACTCACCCCAAAGGTAAAGGGCGCCCTCTGACCCCAGGGGTGACCGAAGGACACCTTGTGTGGCGCTTAGATCTGACGCAGGGCCCGCCATCTCTGCAGGCTCCATTAGGGGCCTCTGGAGCCATCCCTGGGACCCCATGCTCTAAGTCTGTCGAGTCTTCGTCTGTGCTTGGGGGACCCAGGAGCAGGCTGGGCGACACTGTGGTGAGCTCAGAGAGGTCACACAGGGACACGCCCTCCTAGCCCTTGGCTTCCTTGTGGGTTGGAGTCCATCCTGGTCTTCCTGCTCCTCCGCCATCACGCCTCCGCCTCAGTCTCTGCCCACTTACAGCCAAGGATGGGGCCTTATCCAGTAAGCCCTTCCTGGGTGGTCTGGGGGAGACATGTTCCTGCTGCTACTTCCGCTCAGCGACAGCAGCCAGAATTTCCAGGGTTGTGAGGGTCAGGGGACCCCGAGTCTGGATCACAGGGGTCACAGCCCCCGGGGTCAAGCCAGGGGCTCCTGTAACCTGTCCTGGCTCCACAGATGTGGATGGCAACGACCTCCTGTCCTACTGGCCAGCTCTGGGGGAGTGCGAAGCAGGGCCCTGTGTGCTGCAGACCTGGGGCTCTGAGAGGCGCCTGGGGCTGGACACCAGCAAAGACGCAGCCAACAACAACCAGCCAGACCTGGCCCTGACCAGTGGGGATGAAACCTCCTTGGGCCGCGCCCAGCACCAGAGGAAAGGTACCAGCACTGCCCGTTAGCTGCCGCTGCAGGAAGCCTGGGGCCTGCTTGTCCCCTGACCCAGGCTCTCGCCTTCCTGACCCCAAGCCGAGAGCTCCTGTTGTGCTAATCTGGGAGGTTTCTGCTCCCTTACCTGCTCATCGTCCTAGGAACTGGACGCAGGCAGTCCCCCCACGGTGCCCCGGCCCATAGCACAGGGACCCCAAGGACCGCCTCTGCCCCAGCGCCTTCCCCTTTCCACTCCCGGTCTGCCCTGGTCTGCCAGTCTTCTGTCCCCGTGTCCCCCGTACCGCGACCCCGGAGGTCATCCCGCACCAACACGAGAGAGTTCTGCCTTTAGCTTTCCTCCTCCCCTCACAGAGACCGGGGGAGCGATTCCTCTCCCACCCCTGGTGATTCCTGCCCTTCGACCCAACTCTGGGCAGGGGGTGCTCCTCTTCGGACCTCGGGGAGATATGTCTCCAGCCCTGCACCGTGGGCTGCGCTGACCTGAGGCAGAGGATTGCCGCCTTGCGTTCTGACTCCATCCTGATGCCTTACGGAAACCCCTAGGGCTGCCCCCCCCACAACGAGTTTCTGCTCCCAACTCCGTGACAGGGATCCCAGGGCCTGAAACATCCCTAGGCCCAGGGAATGTCCGCCTGCCCCCACCCCACCCATCCCCACTTCGTTCCTCCCGTAGGCATCCTGAAGAACCGACTGCAGTACCCTTTGGTGCCCCAGACCCGAGGTGCTCCTGAGCTGTCCTGGTGCCGTGCGGCCACCTTGGGTCACCGTGCCGTGCCAGCCGCCTCCTACGGTCGCATCTATGCTGGTGGGGGCACAGGCAGCCTTTCGCAGCCAGCCAGTCGCTACTCCTCTCGCGAACAGCTGGATGTGCTCTTGCGGCGGCAGCTGAGCCGGGAGCAGCTGGAGGAGCTCCCTGCCCCTGTTCTGCGCCCCCTGAGCCGGCCAGGGTCCCAGGAATGCCTGGATGCTGCACCAGGCCGCCCGGAGCCCAGAGACCGGGGCAGCACCCTGCCACGGAGGCAGCCACCCCGGGACTACCCTGCTGTCATGGCTGGCCGCTTTGGGTCGCGGGACACGCTGGACTTAGGGGCACCGCGGGAGTGGCTGAACACACTGCCCCCTGCCCGCCGGATCCGGGACCTTGACCCTCAGCACCCGCCAATGCCCCTGCCTCCCCAGCGGCAGCTCTCAAGGGACCCGCTCTTGCCATCCCGGCCCCTGGACCCTCTGTCTAGGAGCTCGAACTCTCGGGAGCAGCTGGCACAGGGGCCTAGTCAGCACCCCTCACGAGAGGCCCTTGGCCCACCCCCACCGCTGCTCAGAGCGAGGGAGGACCCGGCCAGCGGCCCCAGCCACGGCCCCTCCACAGAGCAGCTGGACATTCTCTCCTCCATCCTCGCCTCCTTCACCTCCTCAGCCCTGTCCTCTGTGCAGTCCTCAAGCACACCCTCGGGCCCTCACACCACTGCCACGGCGTCTGCCACCGCCTCTGCCCTTGGGCCCTCCACGCCTCGCTCCGCCACATCCCACAGCATCTCCGAGCTGTCGCCAGATTCAGAGTAAGCACGGCCTGGCCCTGTGCCACACCCTCACCGGGTTAGGGAGCCCTTCTGGTACCCTTCCCCGAGCTCCGCTGCAAGGCAGGTGGGGGCTGGCAGGCAGGTGTCAGCTGCCCCAGCTGGGGACAGAAACCTGGCAGGGAAGCATGGCCTGCAGGGACTTGCCAGCCGTGTGACTGGGCCCAGCCTCCCTTTCCCACACCTCCCAGACTAAGGAGGGCTTTCCAAAGGGCTGGAGCTCGTGGGGGAAAGTGGACAGGAGTCCAAGCTTAGAAGTGGGAGGTACCTGGGAACTCACAAGGGGCAGACAGGAGAGAGGAGGCTTTGCTCGGGAGTCTCTGAGTGATCGTACAGGATGCCAGGGGATGCCAGGGTGAAGAGCCAACTTGGAGAATAAATCATTCATTCGTTGCTGTGGTCAGTGTTAAGTTCCTCTGGCCGGTGGGCACTGTGGGATGGGGCTCAGAAGCACTGAGTTGGGACCCGACACCGCCCAGGTCCCTGCAGGGGCTCCGGGGGGTACACGGTGGCAGACACACCCATAAGTAGCTGCAGATACAGGAACCTAAGAAGGAGTGCTGGGACCCGGGACGAGCGGAACCAGGAGTTGCCCAGGTCTTGTAAGCCAACAGGAGAGCTGGCACTTCAGGCAGGAAAAGCAGTCAGACAGGGAGGGGTGGGACGTCTGTGGGGTGACAGGGCTCTGGGGGCAGGTAGGGGACCGACAGGACTGAGCAAGGCCCAGTGCTGAGAGGACCGAGGAAGGAAGGAGAGGCAGGCCTTGGGCCCTGGAGGGATGTGAGGGGCAGGGCCCCTATGCGGCCCAGCTTTGCGGTCTGGCTACGTGGGAAGAGGGCTGGGGACGGAGCAGGGGTTTGGGCTCCAGAATCACACAGGTCCGTCGCCTCACTCGCTGCATGATTTTGGGAAGGGTCCCAGCCTCTGCACCTCTGTTTCTCTGTCTGTAGAAGGGGTCCGTAGCTCTCAGGTGTGGGGAGGTGGGAGGCTCTGAGTCAAGTGTCCCACAGAGCATCTCTACATAGCAGGTGTTTCCTGAGTGGTTAGAGAGCAGACCTCAGGGGCCAAGAGCCATGCTGACAGAGTCTGGGGTCCAGGGTGGCTGGAGGACTTAGAACCCTGGAGTGGGCAAGAGGGGGCTCACAGGTGGAGGAGGCCAGGGCTGGTGGAAAGCCCAGAGCCACTTGAGTTAGGGTAATCTTGGCAATGACCTTTGACCTCCCCGTTCAACACTACAGGGTTCCCAGGAGTGAGGGTCACTCCTGAGGGGCGGAGGTGCAGCCGAGGAGCGGCGGGCTGATGGAAGATTCGGGCCGAGTGAGGAGATTTCACCAGTCACCGGCTGACCCCAGGGCGGCCTCCCGGGAGCCCCCTCGGCTCTCCACTGCTGCGAGGAGTTCCATGTGCATCTGTGAACATGCATGTGACAGGTGCCGGGTGGGGGCTGAAGGGAGGGCTTTTATACCTTTTGTACCTTTGTAACCAGAGAGATATGCTTATGTTATTTTTCAGCTTTTCTGTTGGGTGGGGAGGGTCTGACGCTGGGCTGGGAGGGAGAAGGGGTCAGAGAAAGAGAGAGAGAGGCAGAGCTTGGCCTCATTTGGGTCGCTGGAAAACCATGTTTTCTCTCATCTTACTAGGGTAGAGCCAGCAGGTGGGACACAGGCCCTCTTCCCCTGCCCCAGCCCTAGGTTGAGCTGAAGGTTGTCAGGGCTCAAAGTCCAGAATGGATCTTTGCTTTTTCTAGAATGCCCTGCAGAAAGCTGTGGGGCTGTGGGTGGGTCTTGGAAACAGGGGTCCTCCGATCCCTCACGGGGGCTTGCTCACCCCACGCCTCCCCGTGGATGCCTGTGTGTTATGGGGAGTCCCTGCCACGTGCTGCCTTATACCTAGGACGGATGCTGTGGGTGCTGGCGGAGCAGCAGATGTCATGTTTACAGAGCAAGGCTTCCCTTCCGCCTGGGGAGGCTCGGGCCTCTACTCAGACACTCCTGCAGGGGGTAGGTGCAGGGGGTTGCTAGCGTGCCCCTGCCTGAGCAAAAGCCTATGGTGCCATTGATTCCCTGACACATTCCCGGAGGCGGGCACGTGGGTGAGCAAAGGGAGCGGAAATAAGGGAATCCAAGACCCCGAATGTAGGTGCCGCTGCCTCCCATGTTTACAGGGTCCTCCCCGGCCCTAGGCACGCGGGCTGCAGACATGACTGCTTCCACGCCTCCTTTATTCCCTTATAAAGGGCAGAATGACTGTTAGGACCCTGTTCACAAAACTCTTTACTTACCTTACTTTGAGGTTCAGAACTGGGGACTTTAGATTTTTTTTTAACTTTGTTTACAGGTAGAGATATTTTAAAAATGTTATACTTTGTTTACAGCTTAAGTCCTTGAGCTTTTACACTTCGTTTACAGTTGAGCATCTTTTTTTCCCTTTGTTTACAAGTGAGAGGTAGGGGGAGTGGGAGGGGGGCTTAGGATCCACCTGTGCAGAGCCTGGCTCTGGCCACCTTGAGGGGTTTCTGACCCCCAGCTCTCCCCGCCAGAGGTCAGCCCTGAGTCCCTTTTCAGAGCAAACCAGGAGCCTCAAGTCGGCATCCTCTTGCCTCTAGGAACAGGGGTTGTGCAGGGTGCAGATACCCGCACCCCATGCATACTTTTGGGAGGCAGTTTCCAAGGAGATTAAAAATTCTACTTCATTGACTGGTGCCAAATCCCACCAGCCAGGACTCCAGCTGTCCTTACCCAGAACGACCCCAACCCCTGGAGGGCTGTGGGTAGGACAGCACCCTTACTACGTCCTAGGTGCTGTAGAGGCCCGTCTCTGGGGTCGCCCCCAGCCCAGCCACCCACTTTCCTGTCTGTATAAACTCTTCCGTGAAGCCGCGCTCTGTTTTGGGAATAAACTTCTATAGAAAATGGACGTGGTCTCTTTCTGCGGCGGTGCTGTGAGGCCGGTGGCTGTGACTGACCTTTGGGAGGAATTTGAGCCCTCTGCTTTCAAGAGCGTCCAGTTATTTTTAGCCCACTTCACGGCGCCCTGGACCAGGTCCCCCTCTCTTTCACTCTGAAATCTGGCCCTCACCTTGTGACTGGCCCGAGCTTGGCCGCTGGGTGCCGGGAGGGGTGCTCAGGGGACCTGCCTCCCCGGCCAGCAGCAGCACGCAGGCTCCTCGGCGTCCCGACCCTTCGGCCCCGGCCTGGCGTCTTCTCCCCGGCCCAGTCGCGGATCAGTTCTTGGAGCTGCCGCCCTTGCAGCTCGTGCCTCGCCCACGTGTCGCACTGACCCGGGGCTGGCCAGCGCCCTTCCTCCGTGGCCCCGGGAGGGACCTTCCCGGCGAGATGCTGGGCCCTGGAGCAGGGGCGGGGCACGCTCTCCCTTTCACTTCGGGCCTAGGTAGCGAGCGTTGGAGGGGACCCTTAGGGACCGTCGCGGGTCTCTGGATGCGCCGCCGTTAGGGCTAGCGAACCACGGGGTGGGTGCAAGGGCCCGGCCTCAGGCAGGAAAGGGTTAAGCTTCCCTTCCTGGACTCGCCCCTCCTGGAGACCGTGACGTAGGCCGGTCTCGGGTGCTGGTTGGTCCGAGCCTGCACCCTGGCCCAGGGATTGGTCCGGAAGTGCGTGGCAGGTTTCCTCCGGCTCCGAGCGCTGGGCCGCCGGGCCGCTCTGAGCCGCAGCCGCCGGGCCGCGTAGGCGCCATGGGGCCTTCGGACGCGTCGGGGTGAGTGCGGGCTGTCCGGGCCCGAGTGTCCACTGCAGCGCCTTCGGCCTGCCTCGCGGCCAGCTTCCTGCGGGTAGCGGCCCGTCTGCGCAGAGGGATGGGCCGGGACTGACTGTGCTGGAGCCCCAGCCAGAGGCGTGCAGCCGGCCCCAGCCGGGCCCAGGGGCGTGCAGCCGGGTCGGGGATGTGCAGCCGGGCCCAGGGGCGTGCAGCCGGGTCGGGGATGTGCAGCCGGGCCCAGGGGCGTGCAGCCGCGCCGGGGATGTGCGGACGGAACGGGACGGGCCGTGGCGGCTGAGAAGAGCCTCCGCCCAGAGCCCGGCACCCGCCGGCCTCTCCGCTGGCCCCGTGAGGCCCCGCCCCGGAGGCTCGGCCCCGCCCCCAGGCGCGTGTCCCGCTCGGACTGGGAGGGAGTCCTTAAGACCCGAGTCTTACGGAGCAGAGAGGCTCCGATCTCTGGGGCGCCGCGGGGCCGGGAACCCGAGGGTCTTCCTCGCACCTGCTCTGCTCCCCCTCCAGCGGGGACCTCGAGGTTAGAGGCTGTTGCTAGGTGAGTGTCTGCCCCTCAGGCGGGGTCCTCTCCCCCGGCAGTTCTCCCGGATCGGGATTCCCACGACAGGAGAAAGGTTTCTTAACATGCTGGAGTCCCTGGCCCTCTGGGAGAACCGCCCCCGTGAGCTCTGTTCCCCGGGGAGTCTTCTCCTCCTCCACCCCGCAGCTCCGCGCTTCCCCTGAGTTCTCCAGAAAACAGCCCTTCCCCTTTGCCCAGTCTCCCGTTCCCAGGAGAAGTCTTTCTCCCGCTTCAGAGAGGAGCCTCTGGGCCGTGAGATTCCCCCAGGTCAGAGATTTCTCTCATCTGCACCTTTCTGGCAGGTCAGAGTTCCCTTTAGGTGAGACTGGCCCTAAAATCTGCTTTTCCCGGCTAAGATTTTTCCCTGCTTGAGGTGGGAGCTTCCCACGCCAGGAAAGACCTTCTCAGAGGTGACCTAGGTGAGAGCCGTGCCTGGGCTTCCCCAGGCTGGGCCCCAGCTTGTCTGCAACCTGCACCCGGCGCTGGAAGCCCAGGGGTGAAACTCCTTCTCTTAGAGGTGAGGGTCTCATCCACAAGCCTGAGGCTTGGAGAACCTTGCTTGAAGATCTAGACCTCTGCTTTGCTGGATCCCTTCCCTGAGTATGCTCCCGGCTGGCGAGGCGAGTCCACAGGGCAGCTGGATAAGGACTGAAGGACTGGTTCCAGGAGGGCAAGGGACCAGGAGGAGGGGGCTGGGAGGGCCAGAGGGCCTGGACCTGGGCCTGGACCTGAACCTGAACCGGTACTCAGGGCTGGGCCGCCACACCTAGGCTGGATGTATGGGTCGTGTTCATCCTGCTCTCCCTTCATGAGGGACTTTGGCCCAGAAAGAGGCCTCCACTAGCCAAAGTTCAGGTACTGTCTCTGCCTGGGCATGGAGCTCAAGGGACCCGCTGGCGTCTGGACGAGTCGTGATCTTGGGGCCTGCAAAGCTCAGATGTCTGACTCTGGTTCCAGGTGAAAGTGTAGGGAAGGTAGGACAAGAGGTCGCTCACTGTGTCTCCTTGGTCTCCCCACCCTAGGCCGAGGGACACGCAGGCACTGCTGTCCACAGCACCAACCATGGAGATTCATGTGGAACGGCCCCTGCTGAACCAGGAGCAGCTGGAGCAGCTGGGGCACTGGGGCCCTGCACCTAGGACCTATCAGTGGCGAACCTGGTTTCAGTAAGATCAAGGATAGGGATCTGGGGCTCTGGCAGGGGTGGGCACCTCCGGCACTGACGCATCCCCTTCCTCCTCCCAGGTGCTCCCGTTCTCGGGCCCATGGCCTTCTACTCAAATACCTCCCGGTCTTGGGCTGGTTACCCCACTATCGTGTGCGTGAGTGGCTCCTGGGTGACTTGTTGTCTGGCCTGAGTGTGGCTATCATGCAGCTTCCACAGGGTGAGCCTCCTTCACGGCCCTAGCCTGGAAGCCCTGTGGCCTGAGTCATGACCTCTGATCCTGGAATTATGGCCCCTGGCCCGGGGCTTGGATTTCCTCAACCTCTTGAGACCCTTTGCTCCAAGCCTGCATTCCGCCCATCCCACCCGCAGGCTTGGCCTACGCCCTCCTGGCCGGGTTGCCGCCCGTGTTTGGCCTCTACAGCTCCTTCTACCCTGTCTTCGTTTACTTCCTGTTTGGTACTTCCCGACACATCTCTGTGGGTAAGTGGGGTCGGGCCTGGCCTTCCAGGAAGATGCCCGTATCTACCGTGGAGCGCCTGTGAGGGAGGGCTGAACAGGGCAGGGGTTCATCCCTAGGCAAGACTCAGCCCTGATCGAGGACTGCAAATCCAGGGGATCTGAAGGCAGAAGAGACGGGGGGAGGCAGCTCAGGGGGCCCAGAACTTGGCCCCAGTCTACAAGTATGAGGCATGCCTCGACGCATTTCCCCTTCCACAAGGAGCCTGTGTCCCTGAGCCGTGGGTGCACGGGAGCAGGGTAGGTGGTGCACGCCTGGCTCTTCTAAGCACTGACCAGAGCTGTGAGCTCGGCTTCACGTTGGGCCCGGCTGGACCTAGCTGCCAGCACTGCCCCAGTTTGCATAGCCCTAGTCTAAGCTTTGTCCAGAAGTGGATACTTGGCCTCTCTCAAGACCAGGGCTTCAGGCAGGGCAGGGTCTTCTTCAAGTCTGCCCTGCCTTGTCCCCTGCAGGGACCTTTGCTATCATGTCTGTGATGGTGGGCAGCTTGACCGAATCCATGGTCCCGGAAGAGGACGTCCAGCAGGGCTTGAACTCCACCGTCGAGAACTCCACCAGCAGTGACCATGTGCAGCAGGCCACCCAGAATGCCCGCGTAGAGCTGGCCTTCACGCTCAGTGTCCTGGTGGGCCTCTTCCAGGTGTGGAGCAGTGAGGAGTGTGTGCCCCCCCCCCCGTTGCCTGGTGACAGATGCCTGTCGCCGGCCTCCTGCTCTTCTCTTCGCGTGTCTTCTCTGATCCCACTTGTCCTGGTCCACCCCTACCTTCCTTGACTGTCCCTGGCCACCCCACAGGTGGCACTGGGCCTGGTGCAGTTTGGCTTTGTGGTTACCTACCTGTCTGAGCCGCTGGTGCGCGGCTACACCACCGCTGCGTCTATCCAGGTCCTCGTCTCACAGCTCAAGTATGTGTTCGGCCTCCAGCTAGGCAGGAGCCGCTCAGGGCCCCTGTCCCTTGTCAAGGTGAGTGAGTGTGGCAGTGGGCCAGGGCCGTGCCCGTGACTGTGAGTGAAGGCTGTGACCCCACCTCTCCTCAGACTTTTGTGGAGGTCTGCCGGAAGCTGCCTGAGACTGTGGTTGGCACCATGGTCACTGCGATTGTGGCCGGGGTGGCACTCCTGATGGTGAAGATACTGAATGACAAGCTCCATCAGCATCTGCCTCTGCCAATACCTGGGGAGCTGCTCACGGTCCGTATGCCGGGGGTGGGGGAGGGCAGGTGAGGCTGGACCCTGACGGTGCGGGTGGCCTCCAGATTTTAGAGGGCCAGCTGCCGCGGCCACCGTGAGGTCTCGCGGATACTGAGGGGAGCACAGCAGAGAGCCCCCATTTGCCTTCTTCCCATCCTACAGCATCTTCCCCCACATGGTGTACCTCCCTGCCCTCGCAAGAACTTATACGCTGGGCGAGGTGGCCCATGCCTGTAATCCCAGCACTTGGGAGGCTGAGGCAGGAGGATCACTGCAAGTTTCAGGCCAGCCTGGGCTACAGAGTGAGTTCAAGGCCAGTCTGAACCGCATAGCAAAACCCTGTCTCAAGAAGACAAAAGTAAATAAATAATTTAAAAGAACTCCTCACTCCGTGGAAGGGTTCCCTCAGTGTCTCCCTCTTCTCCCCCAAAACGGCCTGTCTGTCTCCCTCATGAGGGCAGCAGCGCCCCCCTCCTCTGGCTGGGTCCTCTCCCCACAGCTCATTGTGGCCACCGGCATCTCCTATGGCGTGAACCTGAACAAGACATTTGGCGTGGACATCGTGGGCACCATCCCCGCAGGGTAAGCTCCGGCCTCTGCCAGACTGGGGCGGGTCAGTGAGCCAAGGCCGAGATGGTCCTTCACCCTCGCCGATGCTTCCTCCAGGCTGGTCCCCCCGAAGGCCCCCAACCCGCAGCTGTTCGCCAGGCTGGTGGGAAATGCCTTCGCCATCGCCGTGGTTGGGTTCGCCATTGCCATCTCACTGGGGAAGATCTTCGCCCTGAGACACGGCTACCGCGTGGACAGCAACCAGGTCTAGACGTGCGGGGCACGGAGGGGACATCCGCAGAGGCCCCTGCCAGTCTCGGGGGGTGGGGAGGAGCACGAGGCTGGGCGCGGGGACTGTGGCGGGAAACGGGACGTGGGGATCGCAGCCCGGTCTCGGAGGCTGTGGGAGGTGGGGGCTGACGGCTTGTCCGCCTGGACACAGTGGGACGGCAGCCGGCACCTCTGGCCAGCCTCCTCACACCCACGCGACCCCACCAGGAGCTGGTGGCCCTCGGCCTCAGTAACTTCATCGGGGGCTTATTCCAGTGCTTCCCTGTGAGCTGCTCCATGTCCCGGAGCCTGGTACAGGAGACCACCGGGGGCAACACACAGGTGGGCCGTGGGCACGGGCGGGGGTGTGCTCACATCTGCGTGCACCTGCTCTGCCAGTGCTGCCACTCTCTTCGCCCCGCCCCTCAGGTTGCCGGAGCCGTCTCTTCCCTCTTCATCCTCATCATCATCCTCAAACTTGGCGAACTCTTCCAAGACCTGCCCAAGGTGAGCCCAGCCGTCTGCACCAGGCTTCAGGGCCTTGGCCAGGCGAGGGGCTCTGGTCAGCCTAGCTAGTCTTGGTGAGGTGAGGGAAGGGAGACAAGGCCAGGCCCTGGTTTTCAAGGTTGGAATCCCGAGTGAAATCTGGAGTCCGGGGTCAGGGTTAGAACCTCTCGGAGTCAGGTCCAAGTTGTTCGGCCTGGAGTGGCTAGTCTGGCGCATGCCTGGGTGGCCGAGCTTGGCAGAATCTGGGCACCGCTCAGCAGCCCTGATGACATTCTTCCTACCCCAGGCAGTGCTGGCAGCGATCATCCTCGTGAACCTGAAGGGCATGCTGAAGCAGTTCGCTGACATATGGTCCCTCTGGAAGGCAAACAGACTTGACTTAGTGAGAGGCCTGGGAGCCCAGGGCGGACGGGTGGCCTTTGGCCTGATGGCCCCTCTAGACCCTTCAACCGCCGGTGCTCTGTCCCCAGCTTATCTGGCTGGTGACCTTTGTGGCCACCATCCTGTTGGACCTGGACCTTGGCCTGGCGGTAGCGATAGGCTTCTCCCTGCTGCTCGTGGTGGTCCGAACGCAGCTGTGAGTCAGACCTTTCACTTCTCCCCTCTCCAGCCGGTGTGGGCGTAGGGGCCGTGCTGCCCCCGGCTGTCCCCGCGTCTGGGAGCAGGGCCTTAGTGTGCCTTCCTGGCTCCCGCTGTTTGCCCCCTCCACAGGCCCCGCTACTCCATCCTGGGGCAGGTGCCAGACACGGACATTTACAGAGATGTGGCAGAGTACTCAGAGGTGTGCGGCGGGGGCGGAAGGGAGGCTGTGGGTGGGCTGTCCCGGGCAGAGCAGGCCTTGTCAGCCCCTCCCCTGTAGCAAGGGCCCTGGAGACTGCGAGCCCTTTGGCTTTGGTCCTTAGGATTTCAAGGTAGGAGGAGCTGGTGAGGCGCAGAGAGAGAGAGAGGAGAAAGGGCTGGGGAACGGGCTTAGCCTTGGAGCCAGCAGCCCTGGGTCGGGAGTACGGGGTGCAGGGCCTGGGGGCGTAAGATGTAGGGGAGGCTGGTTCTTGATCTGGTCCCCACTTGGTTCACTTCCTTCAGAGCCTTGTGCCAAAGGCATAAACAAAGGGTGGAGCAGAGTTCTGGAATAGACTAAGCCCCGCTGGCACCGTCTTGACGGCTGAGGGCGTGATGGTTAGGCAGAGTGAGAGGTGGCCCAAGGGGTCCGAGGCATGAGGGAGGACACACGGGGAGCGTCCCGGCCGGATGAGAGGGCACCGTGTCTCCGCAGAGTCCTGGGCTGCATCCTGAGCGGTGGGGTTGGGATGGCAACTTTGAGGGGTCTTGTTGCCTATAGAAACAGACTGCAGGATAGATTGGCGACCCCGACAGGAGGGCAAAACCCACCTGGCCAGTGGCAAAGAGGAGGAGAGGTGGGAAGGGGGAGGGCTGGACAGTGTCCAAACAGGACAGGCAGGCAGAGCGGCCGAGGCTCTGGGCCTGAGCTCCAGGGAGAGGGTGGGGCTGGTAGGCATGGGTGCTCTCGGGAGGACAGGCAGAAGGAGAGCCAGCAGAGGACGGGGTGAAGGCGGGGCGGCTCAGCTCGTGACCCCCAGCCCTGCCCGTCCTCAGGCCAAGGAGGTGCCCGGCGTGAAGGTCTTCCGCTCCTCAGCCACCTTGTACTTTGCCAACGCCGAGCTCTACAGTGACGCGCTGAAGCAGAGGGTGAGGCCAGGGTCTCCCGCGGGGTGCTCGGGGCCGGGCTCCCCAGGGCACCCAGGCCCCTCCGCTGATGTTTGCCTCTAGTGCGGGGTAGATGTCGAACATCTCCTGGCCCAGAAGAAGAAGCGGCTGAGGAGGCAGGAGCGGAGGCTGAAGCGACAGCAGAAGGAACAGCAGAAGCAACAGCAGAAGCAACAGCGGAAAGCCAAACAGGCAAGCTCCTGTCGGCTGCCGGTTGCTGGCCCGGCCCTGCAGCTGCCCGCTGCGCTCTGGCCTGCTGTTGACCCCAGCTGACCTTTGCCCTGGCCCCTTCCTCTTGCTCTGCTGTTCCCAGTCCCCTGCCCTGCTGCTTCCCAGCAGCCTCTCTCCCAGCTTCCAGGCTCCTGACTTCTCCTCGGCTTCCGCTTTCCCGGTCCTGCAGGGCCTGGCCTGGCCCCGCCCCAGGTGGTGTCTTGCTCTTCCTGTCTCCTGTTCCGGTGACGGCATGAACCGTCACTGTCCCCTCCGTGTGCCGCCTTCAGCTCGGCTGCCCTGGGCCCACAGCGTTGGTCCTGGCCCGCCTCCCTGCGCAGTCGGGTGCAGCTGGGAGAGCTCTTTCCTCGCCCCTCCTCCCATCTAGGCCGCCTCTCCCAACGGCACCTCCATCTCTGTCGCTGTGGACGCCAGCCTTGGAGACCTTAAGGGCAGGGATGTGGAGGACTCCAGGGCCAAGGTGAGGCTGGGGTGGGAGAGGAGGGCGGGCGGCACACACGTCCCAGAGGACAGCCGCGGGCTCAGGGGCGCTGAGAGGACGGCAGGAGCGGGGGTGGTGGCTCTGGTACTGTGAGAGACCTGTAGTGGTACCGGGCTCTGCTGTGGCCCTCTTGTCTGTGATCTCAGGCTCTGATGAAGACCGAGAATTTGTAGACGCCACGGACCCCACAGTCTGTGCTCATTGGGTGTAGGGGTCGGAGGGGGTGCTAAGCTCGGTTGGAGATGGGCAGGACGCCTGTGGCCGAGTCCGTACACACGGACCCTGGGTCTCTTCGCCCCTCCCGGGCCCCACCCACTCTACCCTCTGGATGGGCATATTCCCTTCTCCCGCCTCCACCAAGCCTGGGCCCAGGAAGTGGCGGCCGTGTGTGCATGTCCCTGTACGTTTCCTCGAGTCCTGCACTCCTCCCTCCGGTCTGCACACCCCGTGGCTCCCCCACATCCGCGCGTCCCTGGCTTCTGCAGCCCCACTGTGGGTGCCCCGCACCCGCTGCCCTCTCGACGCCGCGGAACCCTCCGAGCTGTGTGCACCCCCGCGGCCGCCCTCCAGCGTGTCCTCCTCCTCCGTAGGTGAGCCCAGCGAATGCGCAGGAGGACGTGGCAGCAGGGGGGCAGGAAGAGGCCAGGGCCCCGGAGGCCTCCACGCTGAAGGCCCTGGGCCTGCCTCGGCCGGACTTCCACAGCCTCGTCCTGGACCTGGGCGCGCTCTCCTTTGTGGACACGGTGTGCATCAAAAGCCTGAAGAATGTAAGGGCTGCGGGCAGGCGCCGCTCAGGCTGCACTCCGACCCTGTCCCTGGCTGAGCGTCCTGGGTCTTCCGACCCCCTGAGCCCCCAGGTCCCCCTTACAGCGCCCCCCAGCCTGCCCGGTTGCCCTCTGAGCCCAGCCCCTTTCTGTTGCAGATTTTCCGTGACTTCCGCGAGATCGAGGTGGAGGTGTACATCGCAGCCTGCCACAGTGCGTGGGCGGGCGCTCGCCCGGCCCGGGAAGAGGGCGGGATTCTCTGGGCCGGGGATTTGCGGGGCAGCGCAAGGAGGGGGAAGCCGGAGGTCAGAGGTGTCCGGGGGGCAGGAGGGGCCGGTGTCCCGCTGAAGCCCCAGGGGTGACGGTGTTGTGCATTCCGGGTGGCTGGGGTTGGTGCCCCTCGTGGGCCCGAGAGTCAGGGGAGATCTCCTGGCCTGCAGGCCCCGTGGTCACCCAGCTCGAGGCTGGGCACTTCTTCGACGCGTCCATCACTAAGCAGCATGTCTTCGTCTCTGTCCATGACGCTGTGACCTTTGCCCTCCAGCACTCACGGTCTGGCCCCAGCAGCCCCGTTCTGGTAAGGTGACTTCTGCCCCGCACTGTTCCTTGTCCGTCTGCTGCCTGTCCCTGCGCCGACCCCCAGCGGGAAGCTCATTCCATCCACTGTGGCTGTCCCCTGCGACGGCGCTGGTCTCCCCGCCCCAGCCCCAGCCGCCCCCCTGCCCTTTGCCTAAGGCTGCTGCTGGGGGAGGGGCCCGGGAGGGGCGGGGTGGGACGTGTCCTTTGGAAGCTGACGAAAGGCTCTGCTCCTCTGCCCACTCAGGCCACCAAACTCTGACTGCTGCCAGCGGCCGACGCTGCCCACCTCTGGAGGCGGCAGTGGAGCCCGCTCGAGGAGCCCCTACTCTGGCCACCTCTGGGAGCCGCCCAGGAGTCCCCTCCACGCGCACACACGAAACTCAGGGACGGAGGTCCTGGGACTCCAAGTGCAGTGCGGTCGGCCGGGGCAGGGTGCTGCAGTCAGGCTGGCCTTGGCTGGGTGCAGGGAGGAGCCAGTGTGTGTTTCCGGCTCAGGAATAAAGTCGTGTCTCCTCGTCCAGGCTCTGCTGTGGCTGGTCGGGGCCTGGCTGGTGTCTCATGACCCACAGCTCTGGCTTATGACCCTCCTCGTGCCTCAGGAAGGAGGCTGGGGGCAGAAGCTGGGGGAGGTTTGGACAGAGCAGGGCCAGGCAGAGTGGGCAGAGCAGGGGAGCTGGAGGCGTCCCCAGCGCAGGTTTCTCGCCAGCCACACACACACACTCAGATCCTGGCTGGAAGACGGTTGCAATTCGAGCGGCTTCTCAGGAATCTCCTCTTCTCAGGGATTCCCAGGAGGTGGCATGGCAGGGTGGGCGCCTGGGCAGTCCCTGGGCGTGCAGAGTGGACGCCTAGCACCCGATTGAAGAACACCTGCTTACTGGTGCCACTGATTTGCTTTCACAATAAGAGCGCCAGGCCTGATGGTGCACGCCTGTAATCACAGCGCTCAGGAGGCAGAGGCAGAAGGGCTGCGTTGTGTTTGAGGCCAGCCTGGACTACAGGGTGAGTGTGAGGCCAGCCTGGACTACAG